CAATGACATGAGACAAAGTATATGTGAACTGCTGTATGGGAAGTGAATTTGCTCTGTAAATCTTCACCCAAATCACAATTAAAAAAAAAAAAAGAAACAAAAAAAAAGTATGTGACCTTGGGCATTACTTTTCTGTTTGGTTTTCCTATCCAAACTGAGAAAACTCAGTTGGGATTATTACTGCTTAAGGATTTCTAAGACACTCCTCCAGTCCTCACTCAGCCATCCAACAAGGAATCTTACAGTATGCCACAGTTCATTTTACAGGCTCAGGTCCAATCATGTTACTCTTTCAGTCAGTTCAGTTAGTTGTCATTGAATTGATTCCGACTCATGACGACCCATGTATGCAGAGTAGAGTTGTATTCCATAGGATTTTCAAAGCTGTGACCTTTTGGAAGCAGTTCACCGGACCTTGCTTCCAAGGAGCCACTGGGTGGGTTTCAGCCACCAACCTTTGGTTAGTATTCCAGTGTTTAACCATTTATACCACCCAGAGACTCCTAAGTAGCTCTTTGTTGTTGTTGTTGTTATGTGCCATCGAGTTGGCCCCGACTCATAGCAGCCCCTCCTTGGGTTTCCAAGGCTGTATCACCACGGAAGTAGATTGCCCCATCTTCCTTCCGAGGAGTGGCTGGTGGGTTTGAACCACCAGCGTTTTGGTTAGCAGTCAAGTGCCTTAGGCACCATGCTACCAGAGCTCCTAAGTAGCTCTTTAGGCCTTTGCAATTTTTTGCTCTCTCTTCAACATAAGGAAAAAAATCTGGAAAATCTAAAGAAAGTCCCTGCCAGAGAAATCCAGTCCTTTCATTTCTCCTGCAATTGTCTGTCACTGCTTATATTTTTTGGGAGGTAGTGCCATACAGTATTCCTTTCATTCTTAAAGGATCAACAGTTAATGAATCTTTCAGATTTAGTGAGGTCTTAAGCTTTACCTTTGGAAACAAAATCTGAAGTAGCTTTTCTTTTAGTGCTTCCAATTAGTTAACTTTTAACTGTTAACTAAATTTAGCTATATGTTTAGTCATATATATTTTTGTAATTTCTTTTTGACAGATCTTCAGGATTTATTCCAAAAGACTGTCCATGACGTGGATGGGAAGCTGACCTACCAGGAAATCCAGAACTCCCTAGGTTCTGCTGTGCCAGAACCAAAGAGCTTGAGAGTGTGTGATTCTGATAGAGATGGAAAATACTCATTCTTGGAGCTAAAAGCAGCTTTAGACATCTAGCCTCATCAGGCATATTTTGGAAATAGATACATGTGCTGGACTACCTACTATCTATCTACTCACCTAACAAAAACAATCCCTTTACTTATGCCATCAAACCTCCAGACTACTGTAGCAGACACATTGCCACCTTTTCACTTGTTTGAAGAAGCTATATAAAAGTTATTTTTTTAAAAAAAAGAAAAGAAAAGAAAAAGGATAATTTGACTTAGAATATGATGTTCAGGAACCTAGGATTTCCTGAAACCAGTAAGATCTTACCTTTTGAAGTTGCCAGGAAAAAATAAAGCCCTCTTTTTTTTCTCTCTCTTTCCTTTTTTGAGGGGAAGAAACCTTATCTTTTAAAACTGGAAAATGTATATATAGAGAAAATAAGCCACCTTTTATATTTCACATAAATTTGCCTTAAATTAGCTGCACTTTATAGAGACTCAGAAAATGTCTTTTCTTTAAAAGATAGGCCTTTTCTGTTTGTAAATAGTTGAAATGAAAATAAGAACTGTGCATATTTTTTGGCAAGTAAGAAAAATGTTTTAAACAGGATCTGAACAAATGACTTGTTATTAAAACTCTCTAAGCTGAGTAGCAGCTGAAACTATTTTCTCAACTCCTTAAGGCATCCCTTGAAGGCCCAGGTGCTGCCATGGGGTTTGGCCTGGTGACTGGGGGAATAGATTTAGGGAGTAGACACTGGGGACAGTGCCAACTCCAGGCTCTGGACAGTAAGATTCAGGTTCTTTGTTCTGTTCCCTTGGCTAATCTCAAATCTGTGAACCTGAGATGTTTTAATGATTTTTTGGTTTTTGTTTGTTAGGTTTGTTTGGTTGCTTAGTTGGTTTTGTTTTATTTCTATTTTTAATCCTATTTCAGGGTTTATGAGCAAAAAAAGTTATCTATTAGGGAGCTAGATTCCCGCCCTCCCCCCCCCCCAGTGATCTAGATTTTCTGCCTCTACCCATCCACCCAAATCTGTCTTAAAGCTGTAGCTAGCTCCCACCTCTGCTGCCATCTCTATTCTGAAGGAGAAGGTTGAAGTCCCTCAGTCACTGTCTCAGCCTCACCATCACATCAGGAGCTTCAGAGGAGAGCTATGCCCAGGAAACTTCACTCCTTGAGATTTTACCTGGCAGTTAACCAAGAACCCAATATATTTCTCTCTAGGCTGACTAAGGCCAAAAGGTTGTGAAATGAAACAAAGCTAACCATACATGAGATCATACTCCATTTCCTTGCCATTGTCAGCTCTGAAGTAGCTAAAGGTTTTCTGTCCTAAAGCAAGTACCCTGGAGCAGGGGACTTCATGTGATGGTAACAAGTCTCCTCAGATCTAATACAAGCGAGTGCAATAGTTTTCCTCCTTTTAAATACTTCCATGGGCCTAACACAGAAAGTCCATGGACTAGAAGGAATGATGCATTGATGTCTCCTGTTTATTGAGTCTGGATTTGTATGTAAGTCCTAGAAGCAGTCTTTGGGTGACAAAAAAGGAAAAAAAAAATTCATAAAATTTAATTTTAGGCCAAGTCAGGGAGAAACTAGAGAAGCTTTCATGGCACTTGCTGCTTTAGTAGAGCTTATTTCCATTTTAACTTTCATCCAAGCTTCCCTGTCAGCCATATATGCAGTCCAGCACCCTTAAAAGTTTAAGAGCTGCGGTTGGTTTTTTCTTTCTTTATATGATGTTCAGCTTGGTGTTGGCTAATGTAATTTTTTTTTTCCAGAAGTATTAGAATTTAGTTAACACAAGGTGAAGTCTTTTCCCATGAATGTGTCTGCTTACCTCATTATGGCTTTTGCTTCTCAATTACAAAAAAATATGTTTTTTCCTTGCCCATCTGAGGTAGTTCTTAGAAATGTTAAAATATAGTATAAAATTAGCTGGCATTTTAGGGAACTTGAAGACAACTCTTAACTCTTTCTGGTGGCCTTTCATACCCCCTCCCCCCTTTTTTAATATATGCACCCTTACAGATTTTGTAACAACCAAATAAAATTCTAGCAATAAATTGAACTATGCTACTATATTTGTACATACTATACCATAAATAGTATGCCTGTATCTGGAAGGTATTTTTTTAAGAACTGATTTGTATGAAATATACTTGAGGGTAATGTAGCTTGTCCCTTTTAGTTTCAAATTCTTATTCATAGGCAGATACTTTGAGGACACCTTAACTCTTTGTTGTATGTACTTTTCTTTTGTGTCAGATAGCTATAAGTGAAGAAGTCTTACTTAAAACAGTTTTTGAGTTTACCTTATATTCTTTCTACCTTGAGCTTACCTGGCTAGCTTCATCCCTGAGCCAGCTGTGTAGTTGGAAAAGGGCAGGGAGACAGCATTTTCTGACCTCTTAACTCCACAAGAGGAAGACAGAATCACCATCAGCAGCCCAATGCCTGCTCCTGTGAAGCCAAACATGCCACCACCCTCCAGCCCTCTTACTAACCTTGACACCCACCATTCCTCCCACAGCACCCACCACCTCTCTGGTGGATTCAGTAATTCACTGTAGTGGCCACACAGAACTCACAGATTATGGGATTTATTAGGGAAGCAATAGATGCAATTCAAGTTCAGGAACGCACTCGGTCTCTCTCAGCTGGCCATCTCTCAGCTGACAGTCTCCCTCAGTTGCACGTCTCTCTCTCTCAGCAGTGCATGTCTCTTGCATCTCTCTCTCAGCAACATGTCTCTCTCACATCTCTCAGGAGCACATTTCTCTCAGCAGCATGTTTTTCTCAGCCGGCAGTCAGAGAGACTCCTTCTGCCTCTAGGAGGGCTCCTTTTGAGCCTGGCAGAGTGGCCAAACTAACCAATCCCAACATCAGAATTCTGTACATCTGAGAGAGAGTGAACTTCCCAGATGATTCCTTTGTGTTGCTCCAGGTGGATGACTTTAACAAGCAGCTTTTCAGTTACAGCAGAGTGGGACTATGGCTGGAAAAGGCATATCATGTAATTTAGTACACTGCAGTAGGACCATCCTCTTTCCCTACCAAATCCAGAAAAAGTGTCCATGCTTCTCTCCCAGAGCTATGAAGGGCCTTGGTATACTGCCTGAGAAAATGCCCTGTCTCCCAGGCAAAAGTACGGCATCTTGGACTCATTTGTTCAAGTTGAGCAGGCTGCCTTAAGAGTCCATAAGCTTATTATTCAGTGTGGGGTTTTTATTATTTCAGCCTCACCTGCCACATGACTTAGCTCTCAGAGGAAAGTTGGGTAGTAGTGGTGAATTTGGCTTGTTTTTACGTCTTATTTACCTTTTAACTCTAGCAGTTTCTACTGCTTTTTCCCAAGTTTCTCAAAGCCTGGCTTCTTGATCTTTTTATTCTTTTGCCTTATACTATCTGGCATTGCATTTATTTGAAGAGCCTTTCCATAAAAGAGAGGCAAAAAGATGATATAGGAAGAGAAGAAGCAAAAAAAGAATGCCCCTGGCTTAGGGATGAGGACAGTATCACCTGGAAGGCAGAGCGGAATATGTCTGATATAACAGCTAGAAAGTAGATACCCTTCACGGCTGCTATTTTTCCTTCCATTGGAATTTCCTTTACAGTTGCTGGACATAACCCCTTGAAGCCTCCTTGCTGGTCCTGCCAGTCACAGTTGAGGATTTTGACTGCCATGGGCCCATGCTCATAATGACTTGCTGTTGAGTTGTTTTTAGTGACAGGCTTTGTTTGCTGCACACCTCATTTGCTTGCTTACCAACATAAGCTAGATATGGTCCCTTTTTTCATATCCAAACCGGAACACATTTGGGTATTCCTGAGACTTTATAAGTGTGTGTTGTTTGTTATATGAACCTAGCCTACCTTGTTTTCTCATACTAAGAAATACACTTTGTTTTAGTGGAGCTATTTTGGTAATGTATAAGAAATTCAGCTCTATTCAGGGAGTGACTTCCGTGACTTGGTTTGAGCTTTGCTTACTTCATATCAGTAACACAGCCATTTTAATTTATCTAAATAAAACATTTCCCTTTTCTCTGTGTCTATGACTATAGCTCCCCAGCTTACTAAGGAAAAAAAAAACATGTTCCTTATTTTTATGGATTCCTTCCTCCTTTAGAAAGCCCAGACTAACAGATGGTGCACACAAAGTAATGTTCAAGGATCTGCCCTAAGAATCACGATATTTGGCCTGAAGATGCCACGCTACAGGGCTCAGAATTAAGCATCTGCCGGGCCATCAGAGATGAGGTGTGTGAGGGAAGAGTGAGCCCCTGGCCTTACATCAACCAGAGCAGCTCCACTTGGGCCTGCTTTTATTGAGATTCAATAAAAGCATGTTTGCAAAAAATGTTCCACTTTCTTTTTTAAAAAAGAAAAAGGCTTGAAATTCATTGCTAGAGAGGGGTTGTACAGGGGCCAGGGCTTTTTCATACATGTTTGCTACATTCTGGGATTGCCTGCCCCCCAAAAAAATCTAGGGTGGCCCTCCCCACTTGGGGGAAAACTAACTTAGCTCATCTACAAATATGAGTGGGAAGCTTTTCCTTATTTCCAAAGTGAAAGAATTTCTAGAAGATACATATTATTGATACTCCAATGCAATGGATCTTAACTTTGGGACCCATGAATCTCTTTGAAAAAGGTAAATGTGATGGATATGTTTCTGTGTATAATTTTAGTGGATTCACTGACCATTTCCCCAAGCCATTCTATGGATACTGCGTTAATTATATCTTACAGACATACTAAAGCATTTGCCAGATTTTTTCTAACAAGACATATGAGGGAAGGGACACCATGATGTATGGTGGGTAGATCAGGCAAACGTAAGTTTGAGTCTTGGCTCTGACACAAAAGAGATAGGCTTTTAGCAGCTGCCCTTTCAACCTCAGTTTCTTCATCTCTAAAAGGGAGATTATGATATCCATTTGGCATCATATGTTCTTGCATCAGCGAGTGTCTTTGTGTTAAAAATAGGACAGCCACAAAAAAAAAAAAAAAAAAAATCACAGATATTGTTAACAAGGGATGAAATTCACACAATAGTGCAGTGTGACTCATGGGTTTCATGAAGACTCATTTTGCCTGCAGCATGGCCACTGAGTTGCCGGAGCTCATGCAATCTCAGCAGCTCGCATGCTCCTGGCAGCTGTGCTTAAACTCCCACAAATGAGCAGCTCCTTTAAGTACCTAGCCCAGGGCCTGGTTCACATTAAAAAAAAAAAAAAAGTCATGAAGTCGATTCTGACTCATAGCGACCCCCATTGGGTTTCTGAGGTTGTAAATCTTTTCAGAAGTAGATCACCCCATCTTCCTTCTGAGGGGTAGCTGATGGATTTGAACCACTGACCTGATTAACAGTTAAGTACCTTACACACTACACTAGAGCTCCTTAGATTCACATTATTGGTCTTTAATAAATATTGGATGGAGGGATCTTAAGCCCATTCACAGTGCTGGATCAGCTCCCATCTGTGACCTTCACAGACTTAATGACCTTCAGCTTGGTTTGCAAAGTGCCCCTTTCAAAGAGAAGAAAGATATTACCCACCTAATAGCAAATGAGTCACAAAGAAGAGCTAGAATTCTTTTGTTTTTTTTAATCTCTCATTAAGTGACATCCTGATGAGCCCTGACCTCTGGGCTAATACCACCTCCCTGAGATTCACTCCTGATGCCTGCAGCTTCCACTGTCAATGACAGCAGTCTACAATTCTGAAGTGAAAGGCCTGGCATTGGTGTGCTGGTCACCATGGGCCATTGTGGGGAGGGAGTGGAAGTGGGTGCTCCTCTCGGGACAGACAGCCAAAGGGTAGGAGACAGAATGGTTCAGCATAGGGGGTAGGTTGCACAGAGAAAGGCCAAAGGACACCTCCTCAAAGATGGGACTCGGGAGTGGGGAGCTGGCCTGAGGCTGCAGCATTGTGGTAGGTAGGGGCTGTTGTGGCATCAGCTGCAGTGCAGGTTGCAGGGCAACAGGGGCCTCTGCTTTGGGGCTGCTATCTTCAACAGCATGGTTCCCATCCTCAGGGACATCCAACTCCCACAGAAGATCTGGATTCTGGGCCTCAGTCTCAGCCTTGGTGATAGCAGGGGGTGGGCCCATGTTGATGGCTGCATTCATGCCATACTGTCGACGCTTGTTGATCCAATACAACAGTGGGCTGTAGGTGAATGTGGCAGTTCTCATCACATCCACCCACTCCTGGGCACGTTCTTCTCGCCGCAAGTTCTTCCTCCAGTGCAGAAAGAGAATGCAGCCACCAGTTACGACAGAACACAGCCCCAGGAATCCAAAGTACAGAGAGACCCACACTAAGACAGTAAGAAAGAAAGAGAGTCAGGCTGGCTGATAGCTCTGGCTTGGAGCATAAGCTGTTTCACATTCCTCTCCTGACTTGAGCCATTTATCAATCACTACATCCTCTTAACCATTCTATCCATTCCTTCCTTCCGTCATTGACTTAACCTCATCATTCTTTTATTTAATCAACACTAGATTGCCAGGGAGCTTAGAGGCTACCTTTATCTCTTTATAGATAAAGAAAGCTAGGTCTAGAGGGGACATGATCTACCTAGGCTTAGGCAGACAAACTTTTGGTTCCTATCCCCAGATCCATCCAATCCATCAAACTCAGATGCCCATCAAGGAGGTAGAAGTTCACCAGCTGACAAAGGCACCAGTCTCTCATCTCATTCCACCACAGCCCTTAACCTTCTAACTTTAATGGGCCTGGGATGCTCATAGTACCTACTTTGGTTGGGAAGAGAAACACGGTATCTGCCCTCAAGAAATCCTTAGTTTTCTGGAGGAAACCATAACTGCCTCATCACCCTTCCATGCAGGCAGCCACCACCCCATCCATGTATAGGGTATTCCCTAATTACCCCCAAGCTCAAGGGCACAAGGTAAAGGTCAGGGATCAGAGGGGTATTTACCTCCAGGGAGGCTCAGGTCCTCCCGTGGGGAATCCATAAAGTTGAGCCTTGATACCCAGCTGGTGACTCTGAGGAGAAAGAGTTCACCCACCTGCACTCATCCAGCCAGTGGGACCTGCAGAATGTCCAGGCTCCATTGTTCCCTAAGGAAGAGGTCACAGGGTTCTGAGCATTGAGCATTCCAGAGGGCAGTGCTTGTGGAGTAGCCCTGAGTTAGTGGAAGGAAAGGGCTTCATCCAATAGGGTCTCATGGATGATATTTCTCCACTGCTTCTATCAGAGACAGACTCACCCACTGAACTGTCTGCTCCAACCCTTAATAGTTAACCCACAAAGCAGTCCCCCAGGAAAGGCCCCTAGCTCCCTCAGAGGTTTATCTACGTAGCTGGTCTTTAGGGAAGAGTTAATGGATACCTATCTCCAGTGGGGAGTGGGGAGTGGGGCAGGGATCACACGGTGTTGGTAGTCCCTGTATGACCAAGTTGTCAAGATTAAACTTGCTCAAGGGAACCAAGTGGTCATCCTCTCCTTCTTTTATGCCTCCAGTATCTCTTCTGTCTGGTTACCTTCAACAAGTGTTGGCAAGTGTTTTCTGAGCATCAGGTCATGGGAACTCTGTACATTCCTTTCCAGCCTCATCTCCTTCCCCATCCTTCCCACACCTTTCCCCTCTGGTCAGGCCAGACTCCTTCACAGACCCTGCTTATTCACATTTGTGGAGTTTATTCACACTGCTCCCTCACCCAGGTGTGCCTCTCCCCACTGAACACGTGCTTCTCCTTCAAAGCTCAGCTCAACCCCCTACTCTGTGACAAACATACAGTTGTCTACTCCAACTCCCATTAGATGCTTGAGTAGATCTTCCCTACCCAGCAACTAATCCCTCCAGGAGTCACTTGAGTTGGGGACTTATTCACCACCTTCTGAGGCAGTTTGGTCTATTTATGGGCAGCTCAATTAGAAAGCCCTTCCCTACTTACCAGCCACTCCTTGGAAGAAAGGTTGGGCAATCTACTTCCATAGTGATACCACCTCGGAAACCCAAGGAGGGGTCACTATGAATCGGATCTGACTCCACGGCAGTGCGTTGCGTTGAGTTGCATTCCCTACTACCCAAGTCAGCCTCCCTATAGGATACATTATTGGTCCTAGTCTGACCTCTTGGCATCATTTAATTACTCCTTCTTATAGTCCCCCAGCACATGACATGGAGCAATATTTAGCACAAATTTCTCCCCAGGTTCTGCTTACCCTTGCCTCTCCTCCTACCTCAATGGTCCCCTCTTCTCAGTCTCCTTTCCTGGTTTTCCTTTTTTCTGTGATCTCTAAATGCTGAAGTGCCCTTGGGCTCAGCTCTCTACCTACATTCATTCCCTCAGTAATCTCATCCAGCTTCATGGCTTAAAATATCATATATACACTGGCAACTTCCAACTTGGTGTCTTCCAGCCTGCTTAGGACCACTCCTCTGAACTCTAAACTCATGTGCCCAACAGACTGCTTGACATCTGTACTTGCTGGTCTATTGTTTTTGTTGTTGTTAGGTGCCTTCTACTCGGTTCTGACTGATAGCAACTTTATGTACAACAACAAAACCCTGCCTGGTCCTGCACCGTCCCCACAATCGCTGCTGTTTGAGTTTGTTGTAGCCACTGTGTCAGTCATCACATTGAGGGGCTTCTTTTTTGCTGACCTTCTAATTTGCCAAGCATGATGTTCTCCAGGGACTGGTCCCTCGTGGTAACATGTCCAAAGTACATGGGAAGAAGTCTCACCACCCTTACTTCTAAGAAGCATTCTGGCTGTACTTCCAGGACAGATTTGTTCATTGTCTGGCAGTCCATGGTATATTTAATATTCTCTGCTAATACCATAATTCAAGGGCATCAATTCTTCAGTCTTCCTTATTCATTGTCCATCTTTTGCATGCACAAGGCAACTGAAAATCCAGTCTACTAAATATTTCAAACTAACACATCCAAAACTGAACTTTTGATCATCTTACAAAACCTACTCCCTCTGAAGCCTTCCTCCTATGTCCTTCTAGTTATTCATGGCAAAATCTTTCTATTTATCTTTGACTCTGTTCATTCTCTCACACCCACATCCAATCAATTAGCAAAATCTTCAGGCTCTGCTTTCAAAATATGCCTAGAATTTAACCAGTTTTCCATCACTACCACTTTAGTTCAAGCACTACCATCTCTCCCTTTTGTTACTGGTCTCCCTGTAGCATGACTAACTCCCAGTTTGCCCAGGACAAACCCACCAGTCACTCCACGGAAGGAACATGGGGTAATCTACTTCCGTAAAGATTTACCACCTTGGATAACCAACGGGGATCGCTATGAGTCAGAATCGACTCAGTGGCGGTGGGTTTTGGAGGGGGCTCCTAGGCATAGGATTTTAAATGTTAAAATTAGAGAAATCCCACGTAAACTGGAACAAGTTGATCACCCTAGGGAGAGCTTCCATCCTTGTCGCCAGTATTCCATCAGAGTCCAGAGTGATGTGATCTTTTTTCATAAGAAATCATATTACTCCTTCTCAAAACCTACAGTAACATCCCATCTCACTCACACTAAAAATAAGACTTTTTAACCAAGGCCTACAATGCTCTGAATGATCTAACCCTTCCTCCCATACCCCCTTCACCTTATCTGTATTCTCCTCACTCATTCCAGCAATAATAACCTCCTTGATGTTCTAAAGCATGCTCCTGTATCAGGAATTTTGCACTTAGCTATTCTTTCTACCTGGAAGGCTCTTCCTCTAGATATCCATTCAGATCATTCCCTCATTCCTTTATGTCTCTTCTCAAGTGTACTCTCGCTCTCTCGCTCTTTCTCTCTTCTTTCTCCCTCTTTCTCAGCCTGCTTTTCTGTCTGCATAGAATGTATCATTCCCTAACATTGTATGTTTGTTTATTGTTTAAAGAGCAAATGAAAACCCTATGGATCAGAATGGCCCAAGCTCATTGTGTAAGAAGTCACGGTGAGTCCAGCTAACAATATTTAGGAGAGGAGAGCAGTTCAATTTGCCTAAAGCTCAAAGTGGATGTCAAGGAGCTGAGAGGCAGGCTTCTAAAGTCAAAGGCTTGAGAAGCAGCACTTGGCTAAAACCTGACCTAGTCACTTAAATGACTCCCAGGCTCAGTTTTCTTCTCTGTAATATGAGGATAATTCCTGTCTCACAGGATACGAAGCAGATGAAGTGTCCTGCACATAGCTCAGGAAAGATATATTGCTGCTGCGATTATAGTTGATGAAAGGGCCTTTTTGCTAATGGTCGGTTATTGTATAGCTAGAGCCAAGACAATTTAAAACAGAGCAAGCTCTGTGTGGACTCGGAGGTTCTGCGCGGGCTTTGGAGAAGAAGCATTGGCGCGCAGAGGCTGCTGGTCCAGAGCCGGAGGGCGTGAATTCAGGCAGGGCTCCCCGGAGGAGGTGGGCCGTGGGACAAACAGGGACCCGTGAACGTGCGGGGCTGGATCCGAACGGACGAGCCCCCTCCTCCCCTACACACCCCACCTCGCTCTTTCTCCCCGGAACGTTGGACGCGCGGAACCTCGGTGCCGGAGCGCGGGCACAGCGGACCCGGAGTGCGATGGAGCGAGCGCGCGGGCCAAGGGCTGAGGCCCGCGCGCCGGAGGAGGTGGAGGGAGCAGCTATGGCGGCGGCAGCGGCGGGGGGCGCAGGCCCGGCCGTCCTGCAGGTGGCTGGCCTTTACCGGGGTCTGTGCACCGTGCGCAGCCGCCCCCTGGGCCTAGGGCTCGTTTCACCCGCGCAGTTGCGCGTGTTCTCTGTGCGCAGCGGTTCGGGCCAGCCTGCGGGGGGCGTGGGCGGCGATGGCAAAGGGATTGGGGCCGAGCTCGAATCCAACCCCTTCTACGACCGCTACCGCGACAAGATCCAGCAGCTGCGCAGGTGCGGGCCAGGGACCGGCTTGCGGGAGTTGGGTGGGGGAGCGGCGTCCAGCGCCGGCTTCTGGTCTGGCTGTTTCAGTCCTTACAACAGTCTTGAGAAGTGGGCACTATTACTGTCCCTATTCCACAAATAATGTATATGAGGCTCAGAGAGGCTGGTAGCTCAGGGAGAACTGTCACTATTATAGAAACGGGAAAGTGGCGCCTTCTAGGATTAGAACTTGACTTGCTCAAGGTCACATACTCAGTCAGCTGTGGCCTGACCCAGACCTAGGATTCCTAGGCTCCTACCTGAAGGTCCTGACTGTAGGCGGTGGGAATAGAGGGTCAAAAATTAATAGTATCACAATTGGATCTTCAAATGAACCCTCTCCTTCAGATGAGGAAACTGAGGTTCAGAGACTTAGAGATTTGCCAAAGGTCACACAGCTGGTTGAGGTGTAGAACTTAGTTCCTAACTCTGAATTTAGGGTTTCTAAAGGAGCCCTGGTAGCATAGTGCCTAAGACACTTGACTGCTAACCAGAAGGCTGGCGGTTCAAACCCACCAGCCACTCCTCCGAAGGAAGGTTGGGCAATCCTATTTCCGTAGTGATACTGCCTTGGAAACCCAAGGAGGGGTCACTATGAGTCGGGTCTGACTCCAGGGCACATAACAACAACAACAAAGGAGCTCTGGGAGCTCTGGTGGCCTAGTGTCTAGGGCATTTGACTGTGAACCAGAAGGTTGGTGGTTCAAACCCACTGGCCACTCCCCCGGGCAGGCAGATTGGACAATCTACTTCCGCAAAGATTTACCCCCTGAGGAACCCAAAGGGGGTCACTATGAGTCGGAATCCACTCGATGGCAGTGAGTTTGCTTTTTGTTTTTAACACTACCCCTCTGATTCCAGAGGGAAGGACCTGGAGATGGGGGGCAGGAGAGGCTGGGGTTTGAGATGGAAGTGAGGGGGACCCTGAGAAGATCTGAAGAAGTCAAGTGAGAAGAGCTGAGGGAGATCAAAAGTGAAATGAAAGGGACTCGGGAGAGAGAATTTGTCAGGAAGGAAACCAAAGACAGAGTGCTTTAACTTCTTTGAGTTTTGTCTCTTCTACTTCCACTGTCTTAATTGACTCCATCAATTTCAGTCTGGATTATTGCAGTGATCCCCTAACTAGTCTTCCCTACTTCCAGTCTTGGTCCCCTTCAACCCCAATCCATTTTACTGTTACTTTAGTCATCTTTCTCACTTTTTGAAAGAATGGTGGAATAAATGAATGAATGTGTATGTTTGATCTCCTTCCAAACCAAAAACCAAACTCAGTGCAGTGGAGTGGATCCCAAGTCTTAGTGACGCCTCCTTGGGTTTCTGAGGTGGTATCTCTCTGGAAGTAGATTGCCCTTCCCAAGAGTGGCTGGTGGGTTTGAACCCCCAACCTTGTGGTTAGCAGTCAAATGTCCTAGGGACTATGCCACCAGTAGTGGCCACCGGTACCATTCAAATGTGCTTAAGTATCTGTCATCTTAGAAACCTTTCCTTGACCTGCATTGCTTTCCAGCCTTCTCTTTTTGATCCCTTTCATAAACAAGCATCTCAGAAGTCTCTACTCACACTATGAATACCTCATCAGTTTCCATTCATTCATGAACAAAGTATGTGAGATGAAGTCTGGCCATTCTTACCTCTAAGGAGCATTCTGGCTGTACTTCCTCCAAGACAGGTTTGTTTGTTCTTAGTAGTCCATGGTGCATTCAATATTCTTCAACAACACCACAATTTAAATGCATCAGTTCTGTAGTCTTCATTATTCATTGTCCAGCTCTTACATGCATATGAGGCTATTGAAAATACCATAGCTTCAAGAGGTCTTTTTGCAGCAGATATGCCCAGTGCAATATATTGTTTGATTTCTTGACTGCTGCTTCCATAGGTATCGATAGTGATCTGAGTAAAATAAAATCCTTGACAACTTTAATCTTTTCTGCATTTATTGTGCTATTTCTTATTGGTCCAGTTGTAAGGTGTTTTTTTTTTTTTTAAATGTTGAGGTGTAATCCATTCTGAAGGCTGTAGTCTTTGATTTTCATCAGTAAGTGCTTTAAGTCTTCTTCACTTTAAACAAACAAGGTTATGTCATCTGCATATCACAGGTTATTGATGAATCTTTCCTCAATCCTGATGCCACTTTCTCTACTTATAGTGCAACTTCTGGGATTATTTGCTCAGCATACAGATTGACTAAGTATGGTGAAAGGATGTAACCCTGATGCACACTTTACCTGATGTAGTATCCCTTTGTTCTGTTTGAGCCACTGTCTCTTGGTCTATGTACAGGTTCCACATGAGCACAATTTAGTGTTCTAGAATTCCCATTCTTGTCAGTGTTACCCATAATTTGTTATGGTCCACACAGTCAGATGCCTTTGAGTAGTCAATAAAAGACAGGTAAACATCTTTTTGGTATTCTCTGCTTTCAGCCAAGATCCATCTGATATTAGCAATGTTACCCTTCATTCCACACCCTCTTCTCAATCTCTTTTTTGAATTTCTAGCAGTTCTCTTGTCAATGTACTGCTGCAGCCATTTCACTAGAATTTTACTTGCATGCAATATTAATTATATTGTTTGATAATGGCTGCATTCTGTTGGATCACCTTTCTTTAGAATGGGTATGTATATAGATCTCTTCCAGTCAGTTGGCCAGGTAGCTTGCTTCCAAATTTCGTGGCATAAATGAGTGAGCACCTCCAGGGCTGCATCCATTTTTTGAAACATCTCAATGGGTATTTGTTTTGGTTCTCTAATGCCGCTATAATAGAAAATAACTCAAATGGGTGACTTTAACAAATAAGAGTTTATTCTCTTACAGTTTTGGAGGCTAGACTTCAAAGTGCCAGGCTCTAGGGGCTGGGTGAAAGCCCCTCAACCTTGGGCTTCAGCTCTGCCTCTTACACCTGGCCCACTGAAGCTAGATGCTTTTCTTAACTTTGGCAGCTGCTGGCTGCTGAGGCTGGCAAACCCAAGGTCGACAGTCCCAAGATTATCAAACAACATGGCAGGCCATTAGTTCAAGTACAGAAAAGTCCCAAGATCGGCAGGGCATGGCAGACAGCTAGATGAAGACTCAGCTACATGCAGGGACCAAGCATGCCAAAAAGCTGCAGAGACCTTTCTTAAACCTTCTCCTTATATAGTGGAAGCAGACCACATCCCTAAGGCAGCTACTCAGCTGCTCCAGTAGATTACACCATGGAGTTGATGACCAGTCTCATCATGGGGAAATAAATACATCCATCTGTTCAGCCACTCAAAACCAGGCCCAACCAGGTTGACACATAACCTTAACTACCATAGTATTCCATCAATTCCTGGAGCCTTATTTTTCACCAATTCCTTCAGTGCAGCTTGGATATCTTCCTTCAGTACCATCAGTTCTTGACCATACGCTACCTCCTAAAATGGTTGAACATTGACCAGTTCTTTTTGGTACAGTGACTCTATTCCTTCCATCTTCTTTTGACGTTTCTTGCATCACTCATTATTTTGCCCATAGAATCCTTCAGCATTGCAACTCGAGGCTTGATTTTTTTGTTCAGTGCTTTCAAGTTGAGAAATTGAAGCCTGATGAGTGGGCTCCCACCCCGTGCAGTTCCCAGGTCAATAAGGAGATACCAGGCTTTGAGGTTCTGAGAAAGAAAGCTTTATTATAGGCTAGCAAGCAAGGAGCATAGAGAGTACATGTCAGATCAAGCTCACCAAAGCTGGGGATTTCAGGGCTGATAGAGAACATGGAATAGGGAAGTTATGATTATTCATGGTGTTTCCAGAAACTCATTAACAATGTATTAGGTTCATTAACATGGTGAGGGATGTGCTCAGCTCAGCTGAAACCTGTCCACCATAGGTGTGACCCTGCTGGTATTTGAAATACCAGTAGCATAGGTTCCAGTATCACAGCTACAAGCAAGCCACCACAGTACAACAAACTGACAGACGAGTGGTGGAACTTTATTGTATAGATAAACTGGAGGGTGTCCAGAGAGCAGGTCCACAGTGAGGAGAGATTTACAAATCATATAGGAGTTCTGGTAGCATAGTGCCTAAGGCACTTGACTTCTAACCAGAAGGCTGGTGGTTCAAACCCACCAGCCACTCCTTGGAAGAAAGATGGGGCAATCTACTTCCATAGTGATATGCCTCAGAAACCCAAGAAGGGGTCGCTATGAGTTGGGTCTGACTCGACGGCACATAACAACAACAACATATGAGTAGGGGCTTAAAAAACTGAGGAAATTTAACTTGGAGAAGAGTAACTTGGGAGGTCATATAATAGCAATTTCAAGGATTCATATAGAAGGAATGAGACATTTTCTCTTGCTCCTGAGGGTAAAAGTTACAGACGGAGGTTTTGGTTCAGAGTGTTTTCCTAATGAAAGATGTCTAAGAACTGGATGTGTTCAAGTCAAATTGTGATTGTGACACCTAGGGATGGTGTAGGATTCCTTTCTGAGGAGATAACTGAGCGATATGACTCAGAGTACCCTTTTTCATCCTAAGGAGTCTTAAGTACCTCTGAGGGACCAAGCCCTGTGTCCCCCACATGCATGGGGGAAAATCCTCAAATGCCCTTTGAGGATTGACAGCAGCTGAATAACTGAATTTCTTTTTTCACTTTCTTGATTTCTCTGCTCAGTCTTGAGGCCTCTGCTCAGTCCTAAGTAAGTCAAGTCCTTCAGCTTTGAATGCCTCTGTACTCTCTGTGGAGGTAGAATATGGTGCTTCATTATTTCAAAATTGGAAAAGGCCCAGGCGGTATAACCTTTGATAACCTTGGTTTACCTTTGATCAGGTCTGACCCCGCTGCTTTTGAGTCTCGCCTGGAGAAGCGCAGTGAGTTTCAGAAGCAGCCAGTGGGGCACTCCAGGCAAGGTGACTTTATCAAATGTGTGGAGCAAAAGGTAAGGCCTGCCCCTTCTGTTTGTATAGTTGGCTCACCAGAGCGCTACCCTGCTCTTCACCCGCCCCCCCATTATCCTGAGTGGGCTCATGATAGGCCAGCTGGATTAATAGAACATAGCCTTTCTACTGGGCTCTGTCTCCATCCACAGATGTTTATCCTGCTCTTTCTGGTCAAGGTACTGTGGCCATGGTGGAGATGTAAACGGATAAAAGGTATAGTCCCTGCTTCTCAGGGATGTAGTCTAGTAAATCAGAACAAGGCCCATATGCAGCGGGCTGAAGGGATCAGGGAGATTTCCCAGGGGAGGTGGGACTTTGGTGTAGAGCACTGGTTAGCAAACTAATTTTGTAAAGAGCCAGATAGTAAATGTTTTAGGCTCTCTCCATATATAGATACATAGAACTCATCTGCAGGGCTATTTGGTCTCTATTGCATCCACTCAGCTCTACAGTTGTAGTATAAAAGCAGCCATAGACAATAAGTAAATGATTAGATGTGGTTAGTTCTACATAAACTTCATTTACAAAAACAAGTGTAGGTTAAAATAAATAGGGAACACTGGATTTAGTTTGCTAACCCCTGATGTAGAGGAATTTGCTTAAACAGAGGAAGAGCTTTGAAAGTAAAAGGGGGGGGGGTGTCAGGAAACAGTGGGGGCAGCTTGCCCAGTTAAAATGGAGAAAATTTTTTTTTAGATTTTTGACCATGATCCATAGGACAGGTTTACGTTATAACTCACTACATACATATGTGTAGGATTTTATTGTTTATAAAACAATGTTTGCTTTTATTATGTGTAAGGCACTCTTTGTTTTCTATTCTTTTTCCTCTTTTTTTGTTTCTTTTGTCCTTTTTCCTCTTTTAAAAAACTGTTACCACAATCCACTAAATTGATTTCACAACTCATGATTTGAAACACTAATCTAGGGTCATGCACAGAACAAATTGGAGTGGGAGAGGCTGGAACCAGGGAGAATATAGTAATCCAGATGTGAGCTGCTGAGAGCCTGAAATATGATAGAGCATAAAACTGGGATTTCATGTGAAGGCAACTTAGAGATGTTCATCTTTCTTGAAAAAAAAATATATTTTTTTTTTACATTGGATATCCTATTTTTAAGAGAACTTACTCATTCTTTTAATAGCTGGTTAATGAGAACAAGATCAGTAGTGAGTGGGTTAATCATTGCAAGATAGGTAAGCAAATTCAAACTCCTGTGACACACATCATTTACAACTCTGATAAAAACAACTCTCTACTACAAATATTTTTAAAAATGTAATTTCCTATAATAAACATTCATTGTACCAAGGTTACAAGTCAATAACTCTTGGAAATATTGCTGTATTACAAACTTTCAATATTATATAGGAAAGCTCTTTGCCCCTTGTTTTAAACAGACTTAGAAATTTAACTTTATGATGACAAGATGCAGAATAAGTAAATATTTTATTTAAATGATGGGAACTCCTAGGTAAATATTTGCTTACTATTTTCTTATCAAGCTAGGTAGAGGAAGGCTAATGACTGGCCCTGTACTCTTCATTCCCAAAACCCTTTCTTTACCTTGAGTCATTGATTCCCTACCACACTGGCTTCAGCATCCTCCTTTTATAATAAATTTTTCTTTTAATTCTTCCTTTTCTGCCCTGAAATGAATTATAGACAATTTAACCCACACATAATTTAGGAGGTAGGAAGAATCAGTATAATATGCTGTCCAAAATAGAAAGGAAATTATTTTTAAATAAGATACATATTTTAGTATGTAAATACTTGGGCACAGCATTATTGTGAGAACTAATGTAATCAGATATATTCATCTATGTGTGAAGTCACCATGAACACATCAGCACCAGATGCTGACTGGTATAGGAACGTTGTGTTGGTGACTTCAAAACCATGAGCAGTGTTATCAATGACCTGAGATTCCACAATGTACAGTCTTTTCTCACTTGTACAGTAGTTGCATTTCTGGAAAATTTAGTTTTATTAAGGTCATGATTTTTGGGATTTTTTTAAAATGCAAAACAGTTAGGTTCTAGGCCCAGGCAATTATAGAGTTTTTCACTTGGAAGAATGTCTGACTAGACATTGAAATGTTGGGCAGGATAAGGGAAATATTCCTCATTATATAGAACTCATCTGCAAACTGCAGCTCTTCTAGCATGTGGTGGTACCCCAGCCCCTCCTATAAATACTGATAATGCCTTCTAATCAATTATTGTGACAAGAAAAAATTGCCCCTGCAGATTTCCAAAGCACCCATAGGGGGCAGTAATTCACCTTTTTAAATTATTACATGCTCTTGACACTTTTGGCATTCAGTTTTGGTATTTAATTACCTACTTCATCTATTCTAAAGCCCACATTTTTGGTTTTTGTTTTATTTTACATTTTGATGTCTCTGAAATTGTCTTAAAGTGGCTGTGAAAGTATGTTATTGTTTAGTTGACATAATTTTCTGATACATAAAATAGTGGTGCATCTTAAGTGAATGGCATCTTAGATTTTAATAACTACAATATGTTTATACTTGGGGACTTAAACTTTTGATTTCTACAAGTGAAAATGGAAACTAGGAATGAATTGGTGGGGCACTGTGGGGAAAGAATACATAGAGCTTGGTAATTAAAAGTTGAAGACATCTGTGCAAATGGAGGGTTTCGTTTTGTTTTCATGGTACACTGGATGGTCAGTGATATGGAGATGAAATTAAAATGATTCCTTCTTTGGATGGTTTCCATGTGGTGGTAAGGCTGCATTAGGACGCTGCCTATGTGTAGGCTTGTGGCCAAAAGACCGGCATGTATCCAAAAAGTTCACCTACATCAGACTTTTGTCTGATTTATTCTTACAGGTTCTATGGACACCATTTCCCAAAAGTTTAGATTCATTAATGCATAGAGCAACAATAGGCAGGGTTTTGTGCAGAAAGCATTTTTCAGCCTCAGAATCCCAGGTACTACTTCCTTCTGAAAGGCCTGATCTTGGGCTGAGTGACTAAGTAGAAGACATAAAAACAACCTGTCCCCATGATTAGGAGCTCTGGTGGCGTAGTGCCTAAGGCATTTGACTGGTAACCAGAAGGCTGGCAGTTCAAACCCACCAGCCACTCCGTAGAAGGAAGATTGGGCAATCTACTTCCATAGTGTTATCACCTTGGAAACCCAAGCAGGGGTCGCTGTGAGTCAAAATCAACTCGATGGCAGTGAGTTTTAGTTTTATCCCTATGATTATGTTGTTGTTGTTAGGTGCCTTTGAGTCAGTTCCAACTCACAGCAGAACCGTGTACAGCAGAACGAAACACTACTTGGTCCTGCGCATTCTTCACAGTCCTTGATATGCATGACCCTGTTGTTGCAGCCATTGTGTCAATCCATCTAATTGAGTGTCTTCCTCTTTTTTGCTGATATCCTTGTCCAGGGACTAGTCTCTTTTGACACCATGACCAAAGTGGGTGAGTTGAAGTCTAGCTGTTCTAAAGAGCATTCCAGCTACACTTCTTCCAGGACAGATTTCTTCGTTCTTCTGGCATTCCATGGTATTTTCAGTATTTTTTGCCAACACCATCATTCAAATGCATCAGTTCTTCTTCATTCTTCCTTATTCATTGTCCAGCTGTCACATGCATATACAGCAATTGAAAAGACCACAGCTTGGGTCATATGTACGTTAGTCCTCAAGCTGACATCTTTGCTCTTAAATAACTTAAAGAGGTCTTTTGCAGCAGATTGTCCAACGCAGTATGTCATCTGATTTCTTGACTGCTTCTTCCATGGGTGTTTCGTTGTAGGTACAAGTAAAATGAAATCCCTGACAACTTCAGTCTTTTCTCCATTTATCATGATGTTGCTTACTGGTCCAGATGTGAGGATTTTTGTTTTCTTTATGTTGATGTGTAATCCATACTGAAGGCTGTAATCTTTGATCTTCATCTATAAGTGCTTCAAGTCATCTTCACTATTAGCAAGCAAGGTTGTGTCATCTACATATTGCAGGTTGTTAATGAGTCTTCCTCTAATCCTGATGCCACATGCTTTGTATAGTCCAGCTTCTCGGATTATTTGCTCAGCATACGAATTGAGTAACTGTGGTACAAGGATACAACCCTGATGCACTCCCTTCCTGATTTTAAACTCTACAGTATCCTCTTGTTCTGTTTGAACAGCTGTGCCTTGGTCTATGTACAGGTTCCTCATGAGCACAATTAGGTGTTTTGGAATCTGGATTCTTCTCAATGTTATCCATAATTTCTTATGGTCCACACAGTCAAATGTCTTTGCATACTCAATAAAACACAGGTAAACTTCTTTGTGGTAGTTCTCTGCTTTCAGCCAAATCCATCTGACATCAGCAATGATATTCTTTGTTCCACACCCTCTGCTTAGTCTGGTTTGAATTTCTGGAAGTTCCCTGTCAATATACTGCTGCAAGTGTTTTTAAATTATCTTCAGCAAAACTTTATTTGCATATGATATTAATGATACTGTTTAATAATTTCTGCATTCTGCTGGATCACCTTTTTTTGGGATGGGCACAAATGTGGATCTCTTCCAGTCATTTGGCCAGGTAGCTGTCTTCCAAATTTCTTGGCCTAAATGAGTAAGCACCTCCAGAGCTGCATCCCTTTGTTGAAACATCTCAATAGGTATTCTGTCAATTCCTGGACCTTGTTTTCAACCAATACCTTCAGTGCAGTTTAGACGTCTTCCTTTAATACCATCGATTCTTGATCATATGTTGTTGTTGTTGTTATGTGCCATCGAGTCGGACCCCACTCATAGCGACCCCTCCTTGGGCTTCCGAGGCAGTATCACTATGGAAGTAGATTGCCCCATCTTCCTTCTGAGGAGTAGCTGGTGGGTTTGAGCCACCAGCCTTCTGGTTAGCAGTCAAGTGCCTTAGGCACTATGCTACCAGAGCTCCCCTTGATCATATACTACCTCCTAAAATGATTGAATGTCGACCAATTCTTTTTGCTACAGTGACTCTTTGTATTCCTTCCATCTTCTTTTGATATTTCCTGTATCATTCAATATTTTGCCCATAGAATACTTCAGTATCGCAACTTGAGGCTTAAATATTTTCTTCAGTCCTTTCAGCTTGAGAAATGGAAAAATGGAGATTTTACCCTTTCAGGTTTCTAATTTCAGGTTTTGTTATGATATTTTACTTTGTCTTCTCAAGCTGCCCTTTGAAATTTTCTGTTCATCTCTTTTATTTCATCATTTCTTCCATTTGCTTTAGCTACTCTCCTTTTAGAAGCAAGTTTCAGAGTCTCTTCTAACATCCATTTTGTTTTTTTCTTCCTTCCCTGTCTTTTTAATAACCTTTTGCTTTCTTCACGTATGATGTCCTTGATATCATCCCACAACTCATCTGGTCTTTGATTATTGGTGTTCAGTGCATCAAATCTTTTCTTCATATGGTCTCTAAATTGAGGTGGGATATAATCAATGTCATATTTTGGTTCTTGTGGACTTGTTCTAATTTTCTTCAAGTTGAACATGCATGGGAACAATTGATGGTCTGTTCCACAGTTAGCTCCTGGTCTTGTTTTGACTGATGATATTGAGCTTCTCCATTTCTTCTTTCCACAGATATAGTTGCTTTGATTCCTGTGTATTCCATCTGGTGAGGTCCATGTGCATAGTCACTGTTTATGTTGTTGAAAAAAGGTATTTGCAAGGAATAAGTCATTGATCTTGCCAAATTCTGTCATATGGTCTCTAGTGTCATTTCTTTCACAAAGGCCATATTTTCTAAATACTGGTGCCTCTTCGTTTCCAACTTTCACATTCCAATCACCACTAGTAATCAGTACATCTTGATTGCATGTTTGGTTGATTTTAGACTACAGAACTTGATCAAAATCTTCAGTTTCTTCATCTTTGGCACTAGTGGGTGGTGCATAAATTTGAGTAATAGTAGTATTAACTGTTCTTCCTTGTAGGCATATGGATATTATCCTACCACTGACACCCTTGTACTTCAGGATAGATCTTGAAATGTTCTTTTTTATGACAAATGTGATGCCATTCCTCTTCAGTTTATCATTCCCAGCACAGTAGACCATATGATTGTCTGATTCACAATGTCTAATATTAGTTCATTTGCACTAACTCAATGCCTAGGATATTGATCTTTATGTGTTCCATTTCATTCTTGCCAACTTCCAGTATTCCTAGATTCATACTTCATACAGCCCACTTTCTGATTATTAATGAATGTTTTCAGCTGTTTCTTCTCATTTTAAGGTGTACCACATCAGCAAATGAATGTCCCAAAAGCTTTATACCATCCACACCATTAAGGTCACCTCTACTTTGAGGAGGCAGCTCCTCCCCTGTTGTATTTTTTAGTGCCTTCCAGTCTGAGGGGTTCATCTTCTGGCACTACATCAGATAATATTTCACTGCTATTCATTTCATAACATTTTCCAGTAATATATCAGACATTGTTTCACTGCTGTTCATAATAGCATAATTGTTATTCATAATTTCTAGTGCCCGGTTTTTTCAGAAGTATATGGCCCCCTCCTTCGTCCTCGTCTGTCTTGGTCTGGAAGCTCCACTAAAACCTGTCCACCATGGGTGACCCTCAAAAAAACTCACTGCCATCAGTGAATCATAGCGACCCCCATTGGGTTTCTGAGGCTGTGAATCTTTACAGAAATAGATTGTCCTATCTTCCTTCCACAGAGCGACTGGTGGGTTTGAACCACTGACCTTCTAGTTAGCAGTCAAATTCCTTAGGCATTGGACCACCAGAGCTCCTTTGGGTGACCCTACTGGTATTGAAATACCAGTGGTATAGCTTCCAGCATCACCACAACATACAAGCCGCCACATAATTGTCTATGATTATAGACAATTTAAAATAGAGCTTCCTAGCAGTGACCTTTATCAGAGGTAATGGGCTCAGGGAGGGCAAATAATCACTTTCAGTTGTTCTTGTCCTTTTTTATGGGGTGTCTAATTTGAGGCGAGAATATTAAGACTGAATACTGGAAAAAACTCAGTCAACTGAGGACAGCTACCATCAGATGTGCTGTCAGAGATAAGAAGCAACTGTGAGAAATATATCTTTTAATTTCTCATCTGTGCTATGGCTCATTGTGGAGCACATCAGAGGACAGAATGCAGCAAAAAGTCCAAGCAGGCCTCATTCTAGGAAGGAGTCCCTCATATCCACAGTGGCAAGTATAAAATGGACTCTCGGTACTAGTAGATGGTGGTTACTGACTGGGAGAAATTCTTTCTCCTCTCTGCATCTTAGAATCTCAGTCTGTGAGGGAAAAACTCCATAGGAAATTTGTCTCACAAACCATAACTCTTGGAACAGTGTGTATAGGATATTATGTACAGTCAGTAAGAGCTGAGTTCTCAGGTATAAAATTATTTAATGAGAAGTTGAATACTTCATCTGAGTAAAGTGAAAGTTAATGCCCTTGTCTCATCATGTATTTCAGACAGGTACCTTGGGGAAACAGTCTATGAGCAGAGGATTCACTAAAGACAAGGTAGGTTTTCAACTAAATGAAGCCAAATCAAACCCACTGCTATCAAGTTGATTATGACTTATAGCGACCCCCATTGGGTTTCCAAAGCAGTAAGTCTTTACAGAAGTAGATTGTCCCACCTTCCTTTTGCAGAGCAGCTGATAGCAGTCAAATGCCTTAGGCATTGTGCCACCAGAGCTCCTTCAACTAAATATAGAGATCTAATTCTGAAGTCATGTGGAATATCTATAACAAGAGGCTATAAATTTGAAAATATTTACTGTGCTTCAGTAATTTCATGTAAGATGATTTTCCAACTGTAGAGTTGAGAAGTCTTTCATAGATTTTTTTTTGTGTGTATATGTGTGTGTCCTTGACATGATGCTAGCATAGTGTGAGCCCTGGGGGTACTAGAGGAAATGTGAATAAAATGTAATGAAGCCCTTCTTTTCTATGGAGAGTAGCTTTAAAACGAAATAAAAACACGTTTACTTTGTTAATAATTTGCAAATAAGGAGCCACCCATGATACAATACCAGTTAAATTAAAAGTAACATCCAAGCTGCAGAACTTATTGGTGAGTGTTCTGGTTACCTAGTGCTGCTCTGACAAGAATATATACCACAAATGAGATGGCTTCAACAAACAGGACTTTGTTCTCTTACAGTTTGGAGACTTTAAGTCCGAGTTCAGAGTGCCGGGCTCTAGGGGCTGTGTGAAAGCCCCTCGACCTTGGGCTTCAGCTCTGGCTCTTGCTCCCAGCCCACTGGAGCTAGAGGCATCTCTTCACACAGGCAGCTACTGGCTGCTGAGGCTAACAAGCCCAAGGTCGACAAATGAAATAGCACAGTCCCGATGTTACCAAACCACACGGCAGGCCATTAATTCAAGTCTATTCTAAGTCCCAAGGTCAGCAGAGGATGGCAGGCTGCTGAATAACGACATAGCTACATGCAGGGTCCAAGTGTGCTATAAACTAGAGACTATTCCCCAAGGCTTCTGCTTATATACAGGAAGCAGACTACATGCCTAAGGCAGCTACTCAGCTGCTCCCAGTAGATTCCACCATGGAGTTGGTTACCAGTCTCATCATGGGGAATACTACATCCAGCTGCCCAGCCACTCAAACAGTCCCAGCCAAGTTGACACACAAACTTAACTACCACAGTGAGGGTAAAGCATTTGGGAAGTACATGTTATGTAATGTTATATTGTGTTACATTATTTGCCATTGGGCCAGCTCGGACTCATGGAGACCCCATGTACAACAGAATGAAATGTTGCCCTGTCCTGTGCCATCTTCATAATCACCGGTATGCTCAAGTCCCTTGTTGTGGCCACAGAGTGTTTTGATTGCCTTCTGTCTTCCAGCACTATATTGGACAATAGTCTGTTGTGATCCGCAGGGTTTTCAGTGGCTAATTTTCACAAGTAGATTATACCAGGCCTTTCTTCCTAGTCTGTCTTAGTCTGGAAGGTCTGGTGAACCCTATCCAACATAAGCATTGGAATAATGGTAGCATAGTTTTCAGCATCATAGCAGCATGAAAGCTACCATAGTACAAGCTAATAAATGAGTGGTAGTGGGAAGTACATTGTGACCTATAAATGCTCCCAGGAATAGAACTGTGGAAAATCTGCCTGGGCTTGAGGGATTCCTTTCTCTGAGCATGTGGGTTTTCTTATACTTGCTCTCTACTTACTGCAGATCTGCTTCATTCTCCTGACATGTTGTTTTCTAAAGGCTGAGAGAGAGAATTGAGCTGTTTTATTTATTTATTTATTTGAATTCTGGATGTTAATCGCCTTTTACTTTATTTCAGACTCTCAGTTCTATCTTTAACATTGAGATGGTGAAAGACAAGAGTGCCGAAGAAATAAAACAGGTAATGAATGAAAATGGGTTGACACACTTTATGAAAATGTTTGCTCTGTGAGCTAAATCTGGGTGTAGAAAAGAGCACACATTTCCTGACACCTCTTTCTAGCCAAAATGTCATAAAAGACAAAAGTGTGAATTACGTGAAGAATAATGGCATAAGAAAACGTGTCTTTCTTGGTCTTACCAAGTATGTGGTATGTTTTAGCAGCTCACATTCCCCCTTTCTTTTTTTCATTCCTATTGCCCACGTCTTATGTAAAATCATTGGTACTCTCAACCGGGATGATTGTGCTATCTCCAGATAGGTTTCCTGGCTTCCATTTCTCCCATTCCCACTCTCCACCTATCAGATCCTCACTAGTTGAGTCCTCTTAAAGTTCTGTTTTTATTATGGGGAAGCACAGTGTATTGGTTAAAACACTCTAAAACTAGGTTGCCGGTTTTAAATTGTCTCTCTGCCACTTGCTAGCTGTATGTCTGGGACAAGTTTCTCTATCTGTAGAGTATAGATAGTATAGCACTTAACTTCATAGAGTTATTTAGGATATTAAACAAGTTAATATTTGTAAAGCATTCAGAACAGTGCCTGGCACAGAGTAAATGCTATATTTGTGTTTTTAAATACATACATAAAAATAAATATGTTGTTAGTATGCTGCTCACAAATGTTCAGTGACTTCTCAGATTCCTTTTCTTGGCATTCAGAGTCCTCCATTATTGTAGGGCCTTCTGCAAGAAGCTTCCTGGACTCCTTTCTTCAAAGCATTATCCTGACTGTTCAGTCATTCTATACACTTGGTTTTACGCTGCTCTTTACATGTCTGTGATTCTTTTCTTTCTAACTAGACTACAGTAAGCTGTTGACTGGCATTCTTTATAGCTTCATAAATTATATTTTAGATATACTAAGAAGATCAAAATAAAAAAGTTTACTTTGTGTCAGATACTGTGCCTAATGCTCATATGCATTGTTTCGCTAAATTCTCATAACCTCCTGGTGAAGTAGGTGCTACTCCAATTTACAATGGAAGAAACTGTGACTTACTAACTAAGTAACTTAGTTAATGGCAGAGTTGAGGCTCAAACTCATGTCTGTTTGACTCTGCATCATAGGATGTTGTGCTAGTTATAGGAAGTTGTGCTAGTTGCTGTGGATTTCCTTTGGATGCTGTGTCATTCATTTCAGCAAACGTTTATTGAATACTTATTAAATGTCAGGCTCTGTGATAACACAGAGACAAATGAGAGAATCTCTATCCTCAAGGAGTTTTTTTTTTTATTAAATGGTGATTGGGCTAAAGTTTACAGAGCAAATTCACTTTCCATACAGCAGTTCACATACACCTTGTCTCATGACATTGACTACAATTTCCCACAATGCAACAGTTCCCCTTCTACTTCTTCCCCATAGTTACCTCTTCCCTGTGTCCTTCCCTCCATGTACTGCTGCCCCTTGAGCTGTCTCCCTGTGCATACACAGCCCTTCTATTCCCCCATGATTGTTCTCTTCAAGGGCTGTATCTACCTAATGTACATGTTCACCTCTTATGCCTGTCTTTTGTTTGGCTGGAAGCCACAGGAGTAGGTTCAGTCTCAGACCTGAAGGGCAGCTAGGGGCCATAGTCTCAGTGGTTCCATAGGCTCTATCATACCAGCAAACCTGGTCCCTTTTTTTTTTTTTTTAATGACTTTGAGTTTTGTTCCACATTGTTCTCCCACTCTATCCAGGATCTTCTACATAGATCCTCCTCCGAGTGGTTGACAGTGGTAGCCAGGCACAATCTAATTCTGGTCTCATAGTTGTGTAGGTTGTCTGTCTTCAAGGAGTTTTTGCCTAGTGGAGGAACAGAAGAAAAAAAATAAGAATTTATTATTTGTGTACTGGGTTTGAACATCTATTAATAGAAGCTTATACAAAGTCTCAAAAAGACCTCAGACTGTGCCTTTGGGAAGAATGCCAATGGGCAATGGACACTAAGCATGCCATTTATGGGAGAGAGAGACCAGGCAAAAGAGTAGCTCAAATTCAGGTACAAGTAGAAGACTTATCATTTTAGACATATTTGTATGTGTTGAAATAATTTTTTAGTAATTAAGATCAACTACATTAGGAAATATATACTAGTCTCATATATCTATCTCAGTATTGATTCATAAACTATCTCCTCATATCAAAAACTAAGCAGAATATGCTATCCTTAAAATGTAAAGACAGTGTTTTAAAAAAGGAGCAAAGCAACCGTAGGCTGCATTAATGGATTAGTTTGCCCAGGTCCTAGAAAATAAGAGTCCTTCTGTACTCTGTGTTAGTAAGGTCATAATTTGATTGGTGTCTTTACTGGGGGCCCCACATTTTAAAATATTAACAAATTGTTGTTGTGTTGTTGTTATGTGCCGTCGAGTCGGCCCCGACTCATAGCGACCCCCCTTGGGTTTCCGAGGCAGTATCACTATGGAAGTAGATTGCCCCATCTTCCTTCCGAGGAGTGGCTGGTGGGTTTGAACCACCAGCCTTCTGGTTAGCAGTCAAGTGCTTTCAGCCACTATGCTACCAGAGCTCCTAAGTAGAGTCAAGTCTAATCAGTGATCACTGGGTATGTTATAAGGCCACCACCTGACTGTTGGTGTTCAATTTGCCTGCTTTGAACACATCTTGAGAGAAGAGTGTCATTTTTGGTAAAGTAGAGGCCCACTGAGTACGAGGGAGACCCAAAGTGAGATGAATTGGCACAGTAGCCATAGCAATAGACTTGAACATGCAGGCAATCATGAGGATGATGCAGGCAATCATGAGGATGATGCAGGACCAGGCAATGTTTCATTCTGTTGTATATAAGGTTACTGTAAATCAGAGCTGACTCAGTGGTAGTTATACATGTTTTGGAAGGAATGGGGGAAAAGGGGTATCTTAGTCTGTTATAACAGAAATACCACAAGTGGATGGTTTTAACAAACACTAAAGCCAAAGATGAAGAGATTGAAGATTTTCACCAACTTCTGCAGTCTGAAATTGACCAAACATGCAGTCAACATGTATTGATTATTATTGGTGATTGGAATACAAAAGTTGAAAATAGAGAAGAATCATCAATAGTTGGGAAATATGGTGTTGGTGATAGAAATGATGCCAGTGATCACATGAGAGAATTTTGCAAGACCAAAGATTTACTCATTGCTAATACCTTTTTTCAACAACATAAACAGGGGCTATAAGGAGCTCTGGTAGTATAGTGCCTAAGGCACTTTACTGCTAACCAGAAGGCTGGCGGTTCAAACCCACCAGCCACTCCTCGGAAGGAAGGTTGGGCAATCTACTTCCGTAATGATACTGCCTCGGAAACCCAAGGAGGGGTTGCTATGAGTTGGGGCCAACTCGATGGCACATAACAGCAACAACAACAAACGGGTATACACATGGACCTTGCCAGATGGAATACACAGGAATCAGATCGACTACATCTGTGGAAAGAGGCTATGGAGAAGCTCAGTATCTTCAGCCAAAACAAGGCCAGGAGCTGACTGTGGAACAGACCATCAGTTGCTCATGTACAAGTTTAAGTTGAAGCTGAAGAAAATTAAAACAAGTTCATGAGAGCCAAAATATGACCTTTATTATATCCTACCTGAATTTAGAGACCACCCTGAAGAATAGATTTGATGCATTGAATAGCAGTGACTGAAAACCAGACAAGTTGTGGGATAACATCAAGAACATCATACAGAAAGCAAATGGTCATTAAAAAGATTTAAAAGCTAAGAAAGTAAAAAAGACCAAAATGGATGACAAAAGAGACTCTGAAACTTGCTCCTGAATGGAGAGTAACTAAAGTGAATGGAAGAAATGACAAGATAAAAGAGCTGAAGAGAAGATTTCAAAGGGCAACTCTAGAAGACAAAGTATTATAATGAAATATGCAAAGATTTGGAATTAGAAAACCAGAGGGAAGAACACTTTCAGCATTTATCAGGCTGAAAGAACTGAAGAAAAAATTCAAGCCTCAAGTTGCAGTATTGAAGGATTCTGTGGGCAAAATATTAAATGGCACAGGAAGCATCAAAAAAAAAGATGAAGGAATATAGAGTCACTGTACCAAAAAGAATTGGTTGATGTTCAACAATTTTAGGAGGTAGCATATGATCAAGAACCAGTGGTATTGAAGGAAGAAGCACAAGCTGCACAGAAGGAATTGGCAAAGACCAAGGCTCTAGGAATTGAAGAAATACCCACTGAGATCTTTCAACAAAAGGATGCAGCACTGAGGTGCGTATTCATTTATGCCAAAAAATTTGGAAGACAGCTGCCTGGCTGACTGACTGGAAAAGATCAATATTTGTGCCCATTCCAAAGAAAGGTTATCCAACAGAATGTGAGAATTATTGGACAATATCATTAGTAGCACATGCAAGTAAGATTTTACTGAAGATAATTCACAAATGATTGCAGCAATAGGTTGACAGGGAAGTTAAGCTGGATTCAGAAGAGGACATGGAATGAGGGATATCATTGTTGATGTCGCATGGATATTGGCTGTATGCAAAGAATACCAGAAAGATGTTTACTTGTGTTTTAATGAATATGTGAAGGCATTTGACTGTGGATCATAAAAAAAATTATGGATAACATTGCAAAGAATGGAAATTCCAGAACACTTAATTGTGCTCATGAAGAACCTGTATATAGACCAACAGGCTGCCGTTCAGACAGAACAAGGGGTTACTGCATGGTTTAAAGTCAGGAAGGATGTGACAGTCAGGGTTCATATTTATTCAATCTGTATGCTGAGCAAATAATCTGAGAAGATGGACTATATGAAGAAGAACATGGGATCAGGATTGGAGAAAGACTCATTAACAGCCTGCAATATACAGTGACACAACTTTGCTTGCTGAAAGTGAAGATGACTTGAAGCACTTACTGATGAAGACCAAACACTACAATCTTCAATGTGCATTACACATCAACATAAAGAAAACAAAAATCCTGACAACTGGACCAATAAATGA